CCCTTCATGCTCTTTCCACCATTTTCCCACCCCTCACTCCCTTCCTGCCCTTTTCCTCCCCCTCACAGTGTTCCTGCCATTTTCCCACCCCTCACTCCCTTTCCACTCTTTTCCCATCCCTCACGTTCTTTCCACCATTTTCCTACCCCTCAGTCCCTTCCCACCCTTTTCCCACTCCTCACACTCTTTCTGCCATTTTCCCACCCCTCACGCCCTTCCCGCCATTTTCCCTCCTTTCACAATCTTTCCACCATTTTCCCACCCCTCACAATCTTCCCGCCATTTTCCCACCCCTCACACCTTTCCCGCCATTTTCCCACCCCTCACGGTTTTCCCGCCATTTTCCCACCCCTCACAAACATCGCGCCCACAGAGCCCAAACCTGAGAGAAAAAAAACCATGAGAAAATGGGAAAAAAAAGGGAAAAAAAGGCTTTGAAATTTTATTTTCTTTGATAAAATCTCAACTGAAAGGGTTGGACTCTGAGAACAGCACCAGAGTGGCACAAACCCCCTTGAATTCCCATGGGGAAATCCCGTGGATTGGCTGTTTTGTGGTAAATTTGGGGTTTTTCATTTTATTTTTTGGACTTTTTCAGCAGGAAAAGTGAAGCCGTGGAATTTCCCAATATGAAATCCCTTGGAATGACACCAATGGACGTTCGGCGAGACGTTTGGTAAAGCAACTTTTCCATTAATTCGCTCAATTAATCAATAAAAACTTCCTGCAGAATTCTCTATAGAATTTCCTACAGAAATTCCCTGTAGAAAATTCCAATACAGAGAACATCCAATTACAACAGGAGGGGTTTAACTCACCTAGAGCAGAAATCCCAGTGTAAAAAACCAGACAAAAACGAAAATAAATCCATTTTTTCCGCTGTAAAACTGGAGAAAAAAAGCCAAGACTTTCTTTTTCCCTTCTTCTTCAGGTTCTTTGTGTAAAATCCAAAGTTTTTCCTTAAAAAAAAGGAATTTACTGAGGCGAAATGAAGTTATAAATAACTGAGAGGTAGAGGCGTCGCTGCCATCACAATCTATTGGCTTGGTCTGAGGTAATTCATTCATTAGAAGTCAATCATTCTATCGGCCCGTGATTAATTAGCGTTAATTGACCTCTCTCCTCTCAAAAAGGTCCTTGGAATTGCAAATTCTTTAATTGGAGGCGTCGCTGCCCAGGTCGGTGATGGACGAGGGGGTGGCGGCGTCCGGCCAGCTGCCATTGGCCTGAGGGGACAGCAAATTTAATTCATTTATTAATTAATAACTTAATTGACTAATTAGAAATGATCAAAAATATAAATAAATATTAAATAAATAAAATATATCATATTTTATAGTATTATAGTCATGTCATATTAAATTATAATGCAAAATATCCACTGTAGAAGATGAACTATATATTATATATAATATAATATATATATTCTATTATATATTTAATGTAATATATATAGAAAATAATACAATATTATATATTGTAATATATAATCAATATAATATAATATAATATAATATAATATAATATAATATAATATAATATAATATAATATAATATAATATAATATAATATAATATAACATAA